TGTGGAAGATGGCATCAAATACACAACCTGCATTTTATTTCTTCCGGAGGGTTAAACACACACCATCCTCAGGCCCTTTGCAGGAAGTACCCTTGTTTTCCATTTTTTTTGGTCTTTTCTTTAAATGCTGAATGACGTGTTTGAGGGATAATGGTGTCATCATAGCAATGAAGGTCCTTGTGTAGCTCTCTCTGCCTTCAACTGAAATGATATCGGAACAGTCTGAAAAACCTGCAAGCGGTTGACATAGCATTGCTATTGCAAATGTATTTCTATACATTGCTTTTAAAAATGCCGTCTATTGTGTAAATATTTAAAGCTTTCTGTAAATGAATAGGTGTTAAATGAATAAAGTAAAAAATGTGGAAAAGTAATTTACTTCCTTTAAATATTTGGAGGGATCTGGTAGTCCAATATACAGCACAACATGTGCTTTGAGAAAATAACAAAACTTTATATAATATTTTTATAATAAAATTGTATGTGTTTTAGTCTGTCACACAGCAGCTGACAGGTACTACTAGTTTATCATATAATAAGATTAACAGTTTAAATCCTTGAACCTGGCAGAAGTTTAAATAAATGCCCTGATGATCACAGTCAAGTATTCATAAACTTAGAAGGAGTCTGGGTGGCTCAGTAGATTCGGGCTTCTACAACAGCCTTTTAACCTCTAGGTCGTTGGTTCAATTCTAACCTGCGTCTGTATTGACCTAAAAATCATTAAGATGTGATTGCTTGGTTGGGGCTATTAGGGAGGAAAGGTGAACTCAATTATTTCTGGAAGATGTCATTGGAAAGGCACTCATTTAACAAAAACGAAGTCACTGTTAGCACCGGTAGATACTTCTGCTCTATCACTCACAAGCTGAGGAGAAGAAACTCTCTACACTTTCAAACAAGAGCCTTTGCTGAGGTAAAGACCAGTGTTTGGGGAGTTGTACCATTTTCCTTGTCCTTAAAAAGACCAAAATATTTGAAAGCAAGGATACAGATATATGAAAATTATTTTAATAGCAATCATAATTATAGATATGTAACCTGTAAGGGATACTTGCAGAAAAGTACAAGGCAAACTCAGAAGTCTATTTTCAATAAAGCCTTTAAAAATAAATGGAGTGTTAAACTTAACCTCTGGGAATAGTTGTTCTCATCTGACAAGACTGAGATGCTTGCCAGAACTTTTAGAAATGTAATTGATCATTGTTCTGTTCTTCCTTATTATTCATTAAATTTTGTGTTTGCATTCATAAGTAACCACCAAATGCTTTTAAGCATTACTGATACTTACCACAGTAGCTGAGGCCGATTATGAGTGTATTCAGTTTTAATTTAAGAACATAAAGAGTAATTTCAAAGTCATGATTCAGCCTGTGGTTGACCACAGACCCTCAGCTAATCTCTCTTTCATTCTGATTGTCTTCAGAGTGTCTGCTTTTATTTTAATGTGTCACCCATAACTAAGCAGGCCTCGTGGCATGGTGCTACAAAAGCATGAAAGTGTCTCTATTGTCTTGCTTGTTGTCATATTTATCCCAATCCCTGTGCTGAACTTTCATATTGTCAGTCAAAAAGAAAATGAACATGTCATTCAAAACGTAGGTTTTACAGTTGGTATTGTAGTTTCCTCTTTCTTTGCCATGTCCCTGGTTACCCTCTTACCAGATTTGTAAGTAGATCCTAGTAGTGTGGTAAGGGGATGCGTTCAAAAGCACGTCTGCTTTACCTTTTTTGTAATAGAAACAATATGCCTTATGTTTTCAGACTAAAAACCGGGCAAACATGTTTTTGCCTGCTTGTACTTTTTTTTCAAATTTGAAGGTTTTGTGGTGCATGGGCGAACTATTTTTTTTGATCAGAGAAGACCATGCTGATTTTCTACAAAGTCATGATATTAATGTTTTAAAGATTTTTTTTAAAAAGGTAAATCCCTGAGACAGGTAAACTTTTCACCTGTTCTTGATCACCTGAAGCAGTGTGGATTTCCATCCATGAGCTTACAAAGCCAGTAACTGCACACCTTGCCAGCAATCTTATGTTTGATTTCTATCATTTGTCTTCGGGGGGGTGGGGTTCTGTTTGAATCTGGAATACCTTTGCTCTCCAGTCTTTGAACTATTGCAATAAACACAAAAGCAGGTAAGAATGTATCTATCCCAATTCGATCTGGTTCTTGCAAAGCAACTAGGAACAAAGCTTGGATAAAATGAAAAACTGCAGGAACCATCACTGAGGTTGCAAGGCCCTTTGAGGTTCCTACTGTAGATCTTTTCTCTGGTCATAAAATAGGGGATTATGATGTTTGTCCAGCTATTGCTAATTTTGGATTTTTAAATCATTCGGGAGCATTGATTGTCTTAATTGAGATCAGCGACTTTATTTTTCTCGTAGAGGATTAAATCCTACACTCCAGGAATATTTTTTTTAACACCAACCTGCTGACAGTATATTTAGGTGGTTGTGCAGTCTCCTCTGAGTTAGATGTTGCTAATCGTTTGTTAACCATTTTGATTGCCACAGGGATAAAACTTAATCTCTTGCAGAAATACAAAGAACTGGTTGTGATAATGCTCTTGAAGCAATTTTAGATCTTTTTTAACAACCATGTGTATATATAGAAAGTAATTTAATATAATAATTATTTAAAGATTTATTCTTTAATGACATTGTATTTAACATCTGCAAAATCAGAAATACTGGACTTTTCCTGCAATAATGGTTGGCAGGAAAACACAATGGGGTTTTGTATTTCATGTGCTTGAGAATATTTTTTTTTAATTACAAAATGTATACTTGAATACTAACAATCTGTTAAAAAGTTAACTGAGCAGATAATAAAAGTATGTAAAAATACTACATAGATTTATAAATTCAGAAATATCAATGGTACCCTATGGGTTAGGTCAGTTGCTTACGATGGGTGTGTTTCATATGCTTTAGAGAATTTTACGACATGTGAAGTAAAAGGCTTGTATATTTATGATAAAGTGACAGGAACAATTTTCATTGTTTTGATTGCAATTGTTAAAATAAGCTTAAAGGTCCAGAAAGCACACAGGTACATCACATAATACTGTGTTTTTGGGCTGAAAAACATTCATGATTTAACAGACATTTGGCTGTAACTCCTTTCCCCTTATTAGTCCATTAAACTGATGGTTTACTGTATTAGCTGAAGCCATAATGCAAGTGCAGAGTTTCCTTACTGATCAAGATCATTTTTAAACAGGTTTTGGAAGAACCTCCAGTTCTGCCCAAAGACAGATGGACAGAATATAGAAGCTTGTTTTTTGAATGCTCATTTTTTTAAATGTCACACTACAGTGCCTGAAATACAAATTGCTATAGTTTTTTAAAATATATTTATTATTCATTTGAAACTCAGTTTTATTCTTCAGTGGTTCCTGATACTCTTAGCATTTAGTAGTACTTTTGACAAGTTCAGATGTAAAATTGCTATTGTTTTCTAGACCTTTTTCCACCATATAATCCTGCAAATGTTGTTCTGGTTATGCCCAGGATATTACAGTGCTCACATATTAATATATGGGATGTGTCCTCTCTTCATCTTCTGTAGCTTTCAGAATTTTTTTTTGCAAATACAAGAAAATGCATTCTGTTCCCTGTTACAACTGGGGAGTGTGGGGGAAAACACAATGTATTTCAGTGCATTTAAGACTTAACTTAATAACTCGGCACTCCCGAAATGCATTTTACATTTTGTCATCTGTGTTTTGTGAATAAAGCAATTACACCTTAACGTCCATTTTATACAAGTTGGTTTTTGTGTTTAAAATGTTGAAATAAAGGTCATTGTGTTTTTTTATATTTGTGGTCTTCTGACTGAATGGAAAAATAAGGAATGTGACCCACTTCCATTTACTTTAAAGCAATCATCAAAATACCAATTTATTTTATGAAATATGGGTTAACTAATTTAATGTAATTTAATGGTAAACATTATTAATTATGGACACCAGATAATAATTTAACTTTCTATATATATTTTATTGGTTGGTGTAGGCATAACATTTTCCTCAACATCATCAAAAGGAACATATAAAACAATTTGAAGGGTTAGTATAATGTATGAATGGTGATGAAGAGATCAGACACCGTTTAGAGATTTTGTCAGAAGAAACAGCATTGTGTTTCTGGGGCCAGTGAAAACAGTACTCTATGTTCTCTGAATATCAAGTAATACATTGCCTTGTAGCAGAAAGAATTATTCCAATTTGGCATGTTTAGTCCTTCTTGCTGTAGGTTGAAGGATGGGTAGTGTGGCGGGTAGGAAATTTTACTCATAAATGAAAGCTGTGGGCTCAGATCCTGTTGTGTCCATAAGCAAGGTACCTCACTGAAATTGCTCCAGTCATATGCCCTTATTTATGTCGTAATGTCAATGAATTTGCTCTCTGGCTTCTGTTTAAAAGTTAAATTATTATGTATTTAAGATTTTTTTTATTTTATACCATGGTGGTTAAGAGGAGTCAGTGGATCCTAGCACAATTTTTTTCACCTGATTTCAAACACCATCTAACTTGCTAGGAATGCCTTTTACTGTACATGGTCCCCCAATTAATTTTTAACGGTTGTAGTAGATAAGGCTTTGGTTTTTTCTTATCTCTGATAGCTGATTTATATTAGAATATATAGTTGACAACAAGTTGGATATCCTTTGAGGATGATTTGCCACACAGTAAATTAAGTCTCACAAGAAAGAGGGAATAAGACCCAGTAGTTTCTTTACAGAGTGTTGGGGATTAAAGCCATTTGTGTTCATTTTCATTATGTTCTTTTTGAAAATGTCCTGCATAATCCACAGCCTCACAAGGTAATTTCAGGTCTCGGTTAGAAAAACCTCTTACCTTTCACCTCTGAGCAAGCTGTTATGTAACGGCTCACTATTCCCTACATGTGTGATGTGCTGACACCGAAAACTCTGCCTTGCAGCTGTAATGTAACTGAAACTGTCGTGTGTTCCATTTTGTGTGTACCAGGGTGGATCCAATCCCATATGACACCCCCAAACCTGCTGGCCACACACGGTTCGTCTGCGTGTCTGACACACACTCCCGAACAGATGGTATTCAGATGCCTTACGGGGATGTCCTCCTACACACAGGCGATTTCACTGAGCTGGGACTGCCCTCGGAGGTTAAGAAGTTTAACGACTGGTTAGGTAAAGTGTCTATTTTTTTTCATGCTTCTCTGCGACCCCAATTAACCTCCTGGTATCTAAATGGCATTCAGTGCTCCCTAATTAAATTAGAGAGTTTTAGTTACTGTTGCCCTTTGATAAAGAAGGCTGTGACAATTCTTTTTTTATTAAGGAAAATGGAGCATTAGCATTTGGTTTTTGTGCCACATGTAAGGCTATGGAACATTTCAAGAAACTCCAGACTTTTGCTTTCCTACTTTATGAGACTCCCTCCACATGACACATGTTTGATTACGCATTTATTTTCTTCAGCTGGATTCCCTGCCATAGTGTGTAACAAAAGGATAACTGTCTGTGGTTTATTAGAAGTAACATTAAACATGACCAATTGTGGAGCTTTTGAATGCATAGCTAATTGGGAATTTTCGGCAATGCTGTGTAGCTTTGTGAATAGTATTTGTTATTCTTTATCAATTTACAGTGTGCAGCTGTTACTTTGTGAAAGACTTTGAATTTCATAGCAATAACTCTGCTACTGGCGAAGTTAAACTTCATGAATGAAATGAAACGGAAACATTACAAGGAAATCTGTTAAAAATGCATTCCCAGCACGTTTAATTTTATCTGTGTTCAATTATATATTGTGGTATCCAGGGTCATGCACAATTTCCTGCATAGCTGCAAAGCACCAACAATATTCCTGAAGTCCTATTGGCAAGATGTACTTAACTTGATGCAGTTTTATTAGTTTTCTCCTTCTCTGGGCGGCGGCTTTGTAGAGTTTCTGTTCTGTAAACGAAGCAGTTTAAAAATAACCATTTTCCATCTGCCACTTCAAAAACCATTTCACATTTAAACAGCATTTTTGCTTGACTTTAAACACTTAAGTCTGATTTCCAGTTCTCTCAAAAGTATAGGGACAGCAAAGTCAAAACTTTGGATCCAAACAATTTGGATTTGTCACCGTGATACTAATATGAATAAATACAACATTCTAAATTATTGGGTTATTATATTGGGTTATTCCATGCATGGTTCTAATAAAAGTGGTCAGGCAGAGTGATGTCATGTGACCATAAGCATAGGGATATATTCACTGTACAAGTACATGTCAGAGAGTAAAAGGACAGTATGTATTATGTCACAGTTAAATTATCTTTGATTTTGTGTCTGTGCTAGGAAAGTTGTCCTCCCAACTGAAAATATTCAGGTTTAATTATTCTTTTGAGTGCCAAAATGAAATCCAACATAGTTTAGTGATAGGCAGTGCTAAAGGCATGTTTCCGTGCTCATAAAGATTAGTAGTGTGTGCAATTGAATTTGAAGCCGCTCAACAGTATTTCTTAAACTTCAGATCTAAATTATATTGATGGGCCTTTTCTTCCCTCTGCTGTTTCACTCTGAAAAATCTTCAGCTTCCTTACATTCACATGCTTGAACCTTTTCTTCAGCCATAATCTCTGAAGGCATCTTGAGCCTTCAGTAGATTTTTTAAATGATTCCACTGATTCTCCAGCAGAATTGGGACATCATATGAACATTATTTAATTCCAGTTTTTTCAATATCTATTCCTAGTTCTCATTTTAATTATAGTAAAAGGGAATTGTAATTAGTGGAGAAACTGAGCACATGGTTTATTTTAATCCTAAACAGGCACCTCTTGACGAAAGTAAGTGCTTGCAGGTTGTCTTTCCACTCATTTGGGAACCTGACAGATATGCACAACAGAGGTGTAAATTGTACACTGAGTTATAGTGGGGTTTTTTTTAAAGTTCACAGTGCCATTCCAGATAGCATCTTGCTAATTTAGCTGTTATGACAGGATTGATTAAGGAGGAGGAGCAGTCTTTAAAATATACCTTTGTGTGGTGTAGATTATCTGAAAGGTTTAATTGTATAGTTGGCTGAAACAAAAGGCAATTATTTTTTTTAAGGGATAGAACTGCAAATTATTATTTGTTAAACCCTCCCAATTGTGTGTTTTTAATATTTCGGGTATCCTCAACTATTCTCAAGACCAAGGATATAGCACAGGATAGTTAAATAATTCACTTACTTCACATATATTATTTTATGGAACCAAGAGGACATTTAAATATCCTATCAAGCCATGGTGATATAAAAGCTTCAGGAAGCCCTTGCATGTTGGGGGATTATAAAACTAGCAGTTGAGGCTAATGCTCTGTGTTGCGAGTGAAAAGCACCTGTGTAAATGGCTATCGAATTCTGAGTGCTCTAGACGAAGCCTGGCTCAGGCTGTAGGGTACGACCGGTGAGCTCTTTGTCTCATAGCAATAGAACCGGATTGCAGAAATTATTTTAATGATGTGCACAAAGTGGGTCTGTGAATGAGAAGAGGGTATAAAAACAATAGAAAAGACAGAGATGAAAAGGCAAGCCCCGTCAAAAAACTCAGGGCTGGTAGCAGCGGGATGAACAGAGCCAGGATTAGGGTCACAGTACCTGGCAGAACAATAAAGGAATACATTGGCACTCCTGCCTGTGTTATCCCTGACCTTTAGATCAGTCTGTTTTCATGTGGCCGTGCAGTCATACGCTGGACATCTGTATTGTCACGCAAGAATAAAATCTAGGGGTCTGGAGGAGCTCTGCCAGCCCTGCATACAAAGGTAAAAAAATGCATGATGTCAAGGTGAAAAACATTGTTTGCTCTGTCTTGCGTTCACTGTGGTGAACAATTCATGGTTGTGGTCCTTTAGGAAGTTGCTATTTGTGTGAGCTATATTGGTTTTGTGCGATTAGACTGTGTTATATCTGTTGAGTGTAAAATAAGCCTTGACATCAACTATGAACATACATGAACAATTTGGTAGTGGTCTAGAGGTTGCAAAATGCAATTTATAAATACTGACATAAATGTAATAATAAGCAACCTTTATTGTAGGATTGCATATTAATAACAAAACCCTTTTGCTGAGCTGGTAGTCTAAATCTAACCCTACAATGTATTTGCAGATGTTACTTTGTTCCACTTTAAAAAATAGAAATAGAAAAATAGAAAATATATTGACAGCTGGCTTATCCATTTCTAAAGTGCAATTTTCCACTATTTTAATTAATGCGTGATTTATGTACCTACTGTACCTACCCTCACCCTTCCACCAACATAAAACTGTCCTGATTGATCTTTTGTAAACTGTAGTTTCAAAAAGGTAGCTCACAGATCTGTCTGCATGATGTTGGGCAGTTTGAGTGGCTGTTGTGAGAAGAAGTTTTGAGAGGCAAGTGTGTGTTTTCTTTTCATCTGTGCTGGGCCTGGATGTTCATTTTGGCAGTGAGCTGTATAAAATAATAATTGGCCAATTCCAAGAAAAAACAGGCAAAACGTATTTGTGACAAATTCAGTCTTTACCGAAAGCCAGGCTTTCCCTCTTGTTAAACATGTTGAAAATGCAGACCCTCCCAAAAGCCATATGACTGAAAAGGAATGTGGCTTCTAAAGTTTAACACCTGTAATTTTCTGTTTCTTGTAACTGACAGATACCAGAATGAAAGAACAACTTTTTTTGAAGAAGAATTCAGGTTTTACAGGTTATATTATACATGACAAGCACTCCTGTTTCAGTTTTCTTTTAGCCTTTAATTAAACAGGAGTATTCATGGAAATGAGGCTGTGTTTTCACTGCTGTAGACTCCAGTGGAGTGTATTGATCACCATCTGAGCATTGGCAGTAGGAGAGCTTCTTGAACAGTTTCACAACTGCTGTGAAACCAGAGCATTGCACAAGGTCTCACAGTGCAAGAAGACATTATCACTCTCTTGACACTATTGTCCAACTTGCTTTCAAGTCCAAGAGTGGAAATAAAGGCCTCTCAGTGTCTTGATCATGGCAAGGAAGTTGCCAGTCAGGAGGTGAGCTAGCCTGCCTAGTTAATAGCACCTGATTGTTTTTTTGTTTCTTAAAGAAACAGCAGTTTTTTCCACAAGCTTCAGAGGAAGCTCTTGTGTTACAAGCTAAATGCAATAAAACATGAGAATAGTTTTCTTTCAAATTCAGCCATTCCAAACTTTGTTCTTGAGCATTATTTGTGTACTTTTTTAAAGAAATAATGCTATTCTCTGTTGATTTACAACTGTTTACAAAGTTGCATGATACCTTGTTGATATTTACACTCTTTGCTTCTTCCAGAAAGTTCTTAAAATGACCGTGGTTAAACTGCAGGTTGTATGTTTATATCTCAAATGGAAAAGACGCAAATTTAGAATCCCTCACACTTTAATGTCTTTAGTTTTAGCTTTCTAATACAATCTTCAGTTAATTAGAATTAAGAATTTACATGGTTAAGGGCTGAATGCATTTCTCTTTGAAACTCTTATTACTAGTCTTATGATTACAGCAGTAAATTGTGAAAAGGCACTGCTGTCTGAGACTCCTAATTAAAAAGTACATTTAGATATATTTTTATTAATCTGAGTTTCAGCATTGTATTAAAGGATATTTATGTAGATTAGATTTCCAGCTACTTTTCTTTATGTAATTATGTATAAGCCGCAAAGTTATAAGTATTGTTTAGACCTTTTTATATGAACCATTCACGTTGTACTTTGCTGACCCAGTATCTGAAGAAGAAACAGTACAGCATCTATTTATATATTTATATAAAATGTTTAAAAAAAAACTCATCACAACACTTTCACTGGACAGTTTTATCTGTTTTACAACAATGTTGCAAAATCAGAAGAGAAACTGATATTTTATTATTATTTTTTTCTTTTCATTTTGTGATTTCTAAAAACAAATCAGTACACCAACTATTTCATAATGTTTTAGCAGCATTTGCCAGCTGTGTGTTCTTCACCTCTTGGTTCCCAGCTGCCAACCCCACAGCCTCACCGCAGGGTCAAATGAGCACATGTTGGCAGACATTTAACACATCCCCCAGCACCCCAGCCCTGTCCAGCGGTTGAGCGCTGGTTGCTCACCGACAGCACTACAAGCCTGTGAGCATCTGGGGAGCGCAGCCAATTAATTACCATTAGTTACGAGCCAATTAATCACTGCCCACACTCCATGCAGTGTGGCTCAGCCTATCGCATGTCAGCACTCGGGGGATCCCAGTCATGTGACCCAGACTCGGACCTGAGATCGCACAGGCCTGTACTCACTGAGCCACTCTCGAGACCCACAGATGTGCACGTTTTGGATGAGGCAGCTTTTCCTTCTGGAGGGAAACGATGGTGCTGTCCATATTTTAAGAGCTTTCACCACCACATTCCTTTCTAAGCCACAAAGATGAAATTCGTAAAGTTATTACGGTTACAGTGGACTGTGACATTGTTCCTCCATTTAAATTTTGATGTGCCTGCACATTGCACACTCCACAATTCAGTAAGTATACATAGAATCCAAAGCAAGTTTGCTTGAATCCTAGAAAATGTTAGCATTTTCAACTGCATCCTTTCTTTGTCTTGTTGGTTTAGCCACTGCTTAAAGGCTGACAAAAGCTTAAAAAACTCCCTCGCTTATTCAAGACCTATAAAAAAGGTTTTATACAGCTGGGCTATGACACTCATAAAATATAGATGAGAGTTTTTTTTCCTGCTTTTTTATTTTCCAAATCCAGTGTATATTGAAAGAAAGGTGGGGGGGGAAGGGAGGTTTGTATCGACGCCTTTTTGAAAATAAAGTTTGATGGCAATAAAGCAGTCTCTGAAAATTCCCTCCTGAGCCGGAGAAATAGAGTTGCCTCACAGTAATTTCATTCCCTAGCACTTGCTCCCGCACTCTTCAATATGGTCTAAGCCAATTGTAGCCAGTGATTTGGTTTTGCGCATTGGCAAAGTACCATGTAAATGGATCTGTGATGTAGTTAGGGGGACTTCAGGATTTTAAAATTGAGAGATGGCTTTCTCTTATTCAATTAGGAAAGGATTATGATACACTACTTTATTTCTCTATAATGTGAAGTAACAAGAAAACTTTTGTGTCTTGCTCTTTCATTTTCATCACGTTCAACAAAAATTGAAAGTCGGACAACAGCAGAATACAGTCGGGTAGATCTTTTCCTGTCCTCTCCCTTTTTTTCCAGTTGTCCCATCTTTTTTTTCCCCAGATTGCCTCATGTAATTACTCTCCCTTCAGCGTCTTTGGGAATTTGTATAATCAAAGACCCTTTTTGCTTCAGTAATTTGGGCAGGGTCACCTCTTGTTCCAGGTGCAGTAATGTACACCCATTAGGCTCATCTTCAGAATTTAATCAAAAGGTTGAGTGTTGAATCTTAAGGGAACATAATCTTTTGGTGAAAACCAAAAAGGATTTGGTACAGTACATATTTAACCACTAATCATCACTGCACCCATCTACAAAGAGTATTACATAGTCTGTATTTTAGAGTTTGATTGACAGCTATTTTATGCTTAAAATATATTTTTAAAACAGAAACTTAATTTTTAGCTGCATCTGATTTAGACTTGTAAATTACCTAAGACCATAAAGGTCAAGAACAATAGGTGACCCATCACTTAATTCAGAAATCTCTTCTTGGCATGTCTGGTGATGATAGCTGACCTACTTGATAGTCCATTCAATCTATTCTACTTTATAGTTTTTGTGTCTTAATTGTTTCAAGGCCCTGGTGTGTTTTTCAGTAAGTTGATATATCAGCAGATACTGTAATATATTGATTGATCGGATAGCCATAACAAAGCTAGCAGAACAGATTTTTATTTTTTAAGCTGTATCTTCTTTTATATGAATAGAAGGAGTCGATCACTGTCAGTAATCCATCACATTTCAAAATAGATCTGTACTGTGGATTCATTTGCCAGTCTCTGTTTCTGTGGATATTATTCATCTTCTCTTTATTTTATGGAGGAATTTGTTTTCAGAAGATGCAAGGAAAATGTATAATTGAAAAGAAAATCCAGAACAGCTAACATATGAACACTTCCCAGATTCCTTACGTTCATACTCAAGTGCAGTTGTCATACTCCTCCTATCAGTTTACAAGAAAATAAGAAAGCTTGCTAACATACGTACTGTATAGTATCATACTTGTAGTATAGTGCATAATCTAAAGCAAATGTATAGAGAAGTGCCTTTCTCTTTTATTATATTTTTTTTTAATGGACAAAATACCTTTTTCAAAAGAGGGGGAAACTAGGTCAACCAAATAATTGAAAAAAAGTTCAGTTGCGACTTTATAGATGTTTCCTTATATTTAGGTTGGCCTAAGTGTTTTATTGCATTTGGGAAGAAGGGTTCAGGATGGTCTCTTGTGGTCAAGCAAGGTTGTAACCTATATCTCTAATCTTTTTTTTGTATTGCAGTGGACTTCTGATTTCTTTATTCTTGTGTGTACAGTGAAAAGACCAATCCTTGTATGATGTGCATCATATGCCTCTGCTACCAACCAGATGACAGCGCAAGTCTGTAGGTTGAAAGAAAAACGTGCCCAGCAGTGTGCCTATTTTCTTTTCTCCAAAAACAGAGTTAAGAGACAAAAAGACAAGTTCCCCCCCCCCCCAAAAAAAAGGCAGTATACAAAGGGAGAAAACCTCCATCTCAGTTTATCAGTGTCTTTGCTGCTCATTGCTGCTTTGCCTTTATCTGCCTTGTTGTATCCTTCTGTCTTTGGCAGTCATCAGCTTCTCTGCTACTATTAAGACAGCTTTCAGCAGTCCCTCGGAGCTCTGGTGTGCAACTTCTCTCAAGCTCCTTCCACCTTCACACACCTATTAAAGAGAGTTTGTACTGAGGACCACAGCTGCAGTCTGTCAAGGCAATAACTATCAGGAACTGCACCCTCTCAGATGGCTGTTAGCTGACAACCTGTCACAACTACATGTACTGTATTTGCTGTATGAAAGACTAGATAGCTCCATTATTGAGTTTGTGCAATAAACACGCTCGAATATGAATAAAGACAAAACCAGACTTTTTGCTCCCAGATTGTAGATTTTTTAAGGTTTATACATCATTTTTAAGTTTTACTATGGTACTCACTCTTTCTCTTGGATTAACGATGGTTATCTAAATCCTTTTCTTAAAATGATTATTGCAACAGCAACCCTGAAAATGGTCAAAGACCCTGGGAGAAACCTTCATCTTGATTTTATTCATATTTTATTTTTATGAAGCCTTCAATTAATGTACTCTCAAATATAAATGATAATATTTTACACCTAAAACCTGATGAATGTTTCATGTTATCGTATACAATGCATATGCAGGCAATGTTTGTGTGTTTCAGCCAGGAGAGGGGTTTGGAAAAAAACCTGTTCACAGAGCAAGTACAGCACAGGCAATGTGATTAGGCGTGATCATTGTTTTGGGTTAGAATTTATTATTTTAACTACGTGGAATTGCATTATTATTTCTGCTTCTTGGAAATGCATTTACCTTGAAGTGTTGTAGGACTATAGAACAAGCTACCCAGCCGTTTTTGAAGCTGACATCTTGGCTTTCTTTAAGAAACGGCTGGATGTACTTACATAACACTTGTGTCTTTAGGACTTATTTTAGGCAAGGGTTTTGAATTTTGTTGTTAGCTTTAAATAGGCCGGGTTAGGTTAACGCTGTAAGCAGCCACAGAAAGCACTGCTCCAAATGGCCAAATCCATGTACAGCAGTCAGCCTGCTCTCCAGAGGCATCGCTCTCTCACCACTACTTAGGAGGGCAAGCAGACCATTCTGTCACCAGGCCCATCAATCGCTGGCCTGTGCTCACAGGACAGCCTTTAAAGATGCCTGGTTGCGGGAGTTTGAGCAATGGTTTTTTAATGTGAATTTATATCCCCTGGGAAATGGAGATGAAAGGGGAAAAAGCTAGTGAATTATCCCTGCACACCACATAAGCCACCCTCTGAAAACATTGGCACTTTTGTGATCTTGGAGTTGGAGAGCTGTTTTTCATTCTCTGTGTAAAAAAAAATCACAACTGGTTTCATAATTCCATCCTCCCTTCATATATAGCCTGCGGACATTACTGAAAAGGAATCTACTGGTAATTGAAATAACCCAATTCGAATTATGATTGCTATTACTCACTTAGCAATATGGGCATTTCTTTTTCTTCAGTTTCCCTTGGACAAAGTAAAGCTGTCTTGTCTGTCAGCGGCAGTGCATAAGGATTTGAGTTCTTAAGTCATATTCATTGTACTGAGACATTGTGAAACTAATAAGCCACTAGGCTAGACATCTTGGGAGTAGTTATTATTAAGAATCAAATATTATAATTTTGATTTAATTACTAGTATTTTCTGAAGCTATAGTGTTGAAGCCTCCAGAGTTTGGTGTAGGAAGCACAGTTCAATTGAATCATTTGAAGAGGGGAAGAAAAAGAGCAGCTCACTGTACTTCTGGGGGTCTCAAATGTGCTGGGCTCAGTAGCCCAGAGTCTAACCTTGTAATGTAGTGATCAGCATCTTAGGCCCACCAGGGAGACAGCTCTCCAGGTTCTCCAAGCTGATTTAAATCTTCACTTTACTTGTAAAAACAAACTAAAGCCTGACATTTAATCAATGAATCATTTCATTATAAAATAAAAAGTACAAATGGAACATTAAAATGGTACAACCTCTTAACCTTTAAGGACTGAATATATAAGCATTCAAGATTAATAACTTGAAAAGCTGCCCCATAGGAAGGCTATATGTATAGTATTTACTTTGTTTCCCAAGGACCTTTTCTGAAAGCTTTCTTTCAGAGACTTAGCACAAACTGTTAACACATTCTAGTCATGCAGATGCCAGGAGTTTTAATTATTTAAGCAATGAAGTGGCACTTAAAAAGAGCCTGTTTTGTGTTTTTGGTCTCTTAAAGCAAAAGCGCTCTTTTATTTGACATTTTCTTGTTTTACTGTTCAAAAGGCTATGGATGATCGTGCTGGAAGCAACAGTAGCCATATTTTGAGATCTGCTGGTGTCATTGCTCAGTGAGTTGCTAAACGCTTTTTTTTGTTTTGCCTTCCAGGGAGCCTACCATACGAATTTAAAATAGTAATCGCAGGAAACCATGAACTGACGTTTGATAAGGACTTCATGGCTGACCTGGTGAAGCAGGATTACTACCGCTTTCCTTCTGTATCCAAGTTGAAACCGGAGGACTTTGACAATGTACAGTCACTCCTTACAAACTGTTTATATCTACAAGACTCAGAAGTGACAGTCAAAGGATTTCGAATTTATGGGACCCCTTGGTAAGCTATTCATTTTACTGTTCACTTAATTGGGAAATGCAGAGCTTTCCTTTTATTCCTCTCACTTCTCAGTACATCTTGCTGCAGGGGTCGGATGCCTCACTGTGTAGAATACATTACACAGGGCAACAGAGCACACTGGAGTGTAGAATTCTTGGAGGAAACTCCTGGGAAGATCACAACTCTATAATCAAGACCTCCTGCGCTTTGTTTTAGCTTAACATGCATGTTTGTTGTGGAGCTGTTTTATTCTGCATTGACTGTGAACATTATTAGAAATCTTATTTTGATTTGAATCATGTTATTATATTTCTGTTCCTCCCCCTCCTCTCCCTTGGTCAGGAAGTTGCCATCTTACTGTCATCAAAATGGATTTGTTCTCATGAAGTAACATTCATTTTTCAGCTCTGTAACTTAACTATGTTGAGAGTTTGGCTGTGGTCATCTAACAATGACCTTTCTAAAAAAGAATAACACTTATCGTAAACAAATTGAAGATCCAATTCTTTATTGCATCGTGTGTATGTGTGCCAGGTGTTTTACAAGATGTTCTGAATCCTATAGCTAAACATAATGGGAAATTCCATAGGAAACAGATGCGTTGTTACATACTTCCTCTGTATTTTCCTTTTGCAGTGGTTGCATCTAAGGTAACTACAGCTTGAAATAAAAAAAAATGTTCAGCACCTTTTTAAGAAATTTCAAATACCCACTCAATTTGGACCCTCTGATCATTACGTTGATGACCTGGATCGCAGTGAAGACCCCTGTACCCACACAAGGGGAGTGAGGAGGTGCACTGTAGGTCCTCCTACCTGAACGCCCATTGAGCTGTTCATCTTTCGATAGGTCACAGGCGCTGAAGCAATGTTGAAGGTGGTTGAAGGAGAGGTTCATTCATCATTGACATCATAGCGAGTCCTGGGTTACTGTTATGTTGAGAGCCAAGAGACGCTGATCTCCACTCTAGCCCTGACTGAAATCAGTCTTTAAAATTGATTTAGTTTTTGTGTTTTTTGAAGGTGACACTTGAAGCATTCCTAATGGATTTAGGTGTAGGCCTGCTGCTTAGCTATTATTTAATTCATCAGCTTTTAAAAGGGAACTGCAGTCCCAATTTCTCAGACTGGCTATTCAATCTCGGTAACAAAATAAATTCATTAACAGTATAGAATTAAGCACAAAATTTTGAACTTTGTGAAAATACTGTAAGTCACCATTTTGTTTCAAACCACTGGTCTTGCCACGGGCGAGAGTGAGAGTTCCTACGAACAGTGAGGTGAAGCGGCCCTTCCTGCTCACTAGTCCCTGTATGACTATATGTATGTACAGTATATGATGTATGAGCGAATAAGTACAGGTTGTGCAGCAGACATTTCAGCACAGAAATGTTCCAATGTGATCTGCATGCAAAGTTAACAATTAGTATATGTTGGCTCAATGGTCTTAAAATCGAGAGCAATGATTCTATTGGATTAAAAGAGATGTATTCACAAACCTGCTTGCTTACAATGTGATAAGGTGGCTTCACGTCACCAGTCGTTGCCTTGTACTGAATTGCAGAATATGGCACTGCACATACCTGGAAATGTTGTTTATTTTGTAAATTGGAGGTTTAACAAATTACTGTGTAGAATTTACTTTTATCATGGTTTGAAATGCACTTATCAATGCTGATGCAGTCTAAACCTGAACTATAGAAATATCATTGCAGTTATCCTATATGTTGCTTTATTCTAAATCATACCACGTTGATTTGTGTAGATGCAAACGGATGAAGGAAACAGTTGCCCTGGTGTTGCAATTATTAATCTGTTTTTATTTTAAGTGCTTTTCTGAATACATTTTATGCGTTGGTGAACATTTCATTTTTAAGCTGAAACCGGGTACTTTTACGTCAGCAAAAACAGATTCACAGAGCAGTGTCCCCAAAGTCTATATTTAAAGGTTGCTATTATTGTGAAGCTAGCTGACTAACAAAACAACAAGAAGCAAGGAAAATCCAAAAGGGGCTATTGTTTATTAATTTGGAACACGGTATTGTCTTCTATGGTACTTTGACCTGTGGGCAGCTGAAGGGCTTGACCCTTTGCATGACCTACATGTCCTTTGAAAGGTTTCATTTACTGGACCTCATGGGTGGCCGAGCTGGCTACCTCATGTCTGCAGGATGATTGTGTTCCACTATGCTCCTAAACTGTAGTTTCCACTAGTTTTGAGAGTCAAGGACTAAATAAAGGTACAGCGAAGCAAATGTACATATTTTTGCATTTCTGTATTCATGTTTGAGAAATGCTCATGTACAAAGTTGGATTTTGGTGGGACAATTTAACGTTGGTAACATAACCACCTCTGTGCAGTCATTGCTTTACTGGCATACAGTAGATGGCCTTTGTGAAAGTAAGTGGTTTCCAATGGTTAAGAATTAATTCATCAGTTTATAAGACATCTTACCCTTTCTAAAGCTTAGGTCAAAATGGTTTAAGTGGCGCATAACACACAAGTATTATCTAGAGGAATTGTTATAAAGTGTTTGACAGTCAAAGGTAAATCCCTTCATACCTTTTTTCTTTCTTAAACACTGTGGTTCATAGGAAAATTGAATCTGAATGCTGTACAAAACGTCAGTTTGATAGGTTATCTGTTCTAAACCTTTTAGATACTGAAATTGTATGTCTTAATTTGCTAAAGGATTATTTAATAAATAAGATTTTCCTCTGCATCTAATGTGCTGTGTCGTGAGGCTACTGGCTCTGAATCTGTGCTGAGTGTGTGAAATCTTTGGGAAAAGAAAAGCACTAAGAAAATGCAAGGAATAAAGGTATAGAGGTGAAATGGTTAAATCTCATCTTACTCACTGCACAATAGCCGATGCATGGATGCCTTCCATTGTTTTAATTTTGTGGGGATTTTTTTTTGGAAGGTGCCAGCAGTTTCTTTTAAATGGCATTTAAATCAGGCAGATTGTCAAGCAGACATTAGCATGTGTTGTGTTCATAGCATATGGTCCAACAGTTGGGTAAGACACAGACAGTGATCTGGTTAGACAAGGGACTGTACCTGGTTAGTTGATCATTATAATATTTTCGATTTACCCTGTTCTAGAACATGGCATAATTGAACTAATCATGAAGACTCATTAATTAGAACATTGTAAAGACTTTTTTTTTTAATTCGGACTAAATGATGCATTAAGGAGCAAACATATTGCTGGCAGTGACGTGTAGCTGTCTGACGCATTTGGAGACACTATAATTCACAAAGCAGTTAAACTGAAATGTAACGTTTTTGTTGCCTCAGGCCTACGGCTGTAATAAACAATGTAGTCATCAGCACTACTGTTTTTTTTTTCCTTTTCTGTTTTAAGCAAAAGGATTCAGTTTGAATGAACTTCAAATGACTTGCAGAACACGAGTTACTGTCATGATGTCATGTGTAGCTGCTGTTCATCCCAGGGCAGGGAAACACTTGAAACAGCAGACCTAGAGTGAGCTGTATGCTCTGCACTGGCTTTATGCAGGAGGGGTTTACTGTATCATGGCCTTGCCAAGCTGTAAACAGCTGCCTTCTCACAAAGGCCTCTCTTCAACCCTCTCTTGAGGGAGGAGGGATGTTATCACTTAGTTTGTTCCTGAGTGCTGAGACGTGCAGTCATTGCTGGGCAAAGTTCATACAATTATGTAATCGAATCCCCTCGTTATTCTGCTGTGCTAAGCCGGTCAAGTTCAGGGAATAACTTGGCCGAACCAGACTGACCAAAAGATTCTCATGAGGGCTCATTAACCCTTTACCCACATTACATACAAAGCACATGTGTCCTAGGGGCTGTTAAAGTAGCCTCCTGTTTTCCTTTTGTCGAGGGATGTTAACTAATAGAAATCTGGAGTGTCCACTTTTTTTTAAAATAAGCAAAAATAATGTTAATGAGATTAACACCATGGTTTAAGAATAAAGTTTGCAGAGTGGAATATATTCTATGCGTTTTATTTTTTTAGTGTCAAGTTATGACAACATGTACTTTCCAGTTGTGCTTGTATTGAAATTTCGGAAGAGTTATGATGATTGTACCTCTGAAACAAATCACTTGTAGAGCGACTACATGTCTATTGTTTGCTTTTGAGCAGAAAGCACAGTGTAATGCTCAGCAGAGCTAAAACAGTGATGATTTGAACCGAGAAGTAAGGAAAAGGACAGAAGTTAATTTCACTCTTAAGATCGCCTGCGATTGCACCAGTTTCTGGCAGAAGGTTGAGTGCACAGGAATTAATAATTCAGTTTGAAAGACCCAGTAGTTACCTTTTCTCACATAAAATAATCCTTAAATAAAGCTTAGTGACTCCTGTTAAAACAGGAGTGTAGAGCAAAAATCTAATCTGCACTGGAGTCTGGTTTGATTTAGGAAACTGGTGGGACTAATGGTTAGAGATGAGTATCATTTTGAATGTTGTAATTCTACAGCATTTTCTAACAAAAACATGATCTGCTATGTTTTTTATCATGTGCCCTTCCAAACTGCAATTGCCAAGTGTGTGGCTCGGCTCTCAAACACAACCCAGGAAGAGCAGAGGTGCAGAGAGGCTTTTTCAGCCTACCTCCCCCATTGGGCCGATCATATCTTAACTCACCGGAGGGGGACACTGCTGATTGGAAGAGAGGTACCATCAGCCAGAAGGGATTTAGAATATCAGAGAAATCCCATCCCTACCCACAGTGTCACTAAGCCTGTTGTGCATTAGGGTGGTGAATGTATGGAACAAGTCATGTTGTTAAAGCTGATGCACTGGCTTCTTTCAAGGAATCGTTGGATGAGTGACCATGGATCAGTTAGCTACTCTCAGATGGGCCTCATGCACCAGATGGTCTCCTCTAATTTGTAATGGTTCTTATGCTTTGCTGCGTGGAGCACAGTTTCATGAGTTCTGGAACATGGAGCTCAGTCTGTGGTTGGAATCTGAGCTACTCAGGAGCTACTGTCCTTCCTTGGTGTTAAACATTTCTTT